TGTAATATACATCCATTAGCACGCGGTGCTCGCCATTCTAGCACCTGAAGATGATGGTGACGCGCCCTCGGATCGCCACCCGTGAGTCATCACCAAACTTCACCGTGCTGGTCACGTCGTCGTCGAGCTCGGAGAAGGTTTCCTTGGAGCTCGTCATGTGGTTGCTGGCGCCGAAGTCTAGGTACCATCGCTGCTCCTGTCCGCCGCCCACACGTCCGAGGTTGACTTGGGCATGCGGTTCATCGTGGTGGACAGCCTTGTCGTGCTCGGCCACCGCCGTCACCTCTTCCATCTCCTCGGCCTCAACGTCATGCAGTGCATAGAATATCGCCATCAGGATAGTGGCTCATCATCATCATCAGCCTACACCAGATGAACCTGAGCCTTCTTCTCCTACCTGCGATTAGGGCATTCTTTTGCCCAATGGCCCATCTTTCGCAGCGCCGGCAGGCGTTGGGGTCGACCTTCTTTTTCTTTTCCGAAGAAGCCTTGCCGCGGCGCTTGCCATCGCCACCGCGGCTAGAGGAGGCTTTCCCAGAGTTCCTCCGGGCAGGTCACTCCTCCTCTATCAGCAGCAGCTTGCCACTGTCCTTCGTTGCTGTCGCCTGCTCCAGGCGCTCGTCCACCGCCCACAAACGTCCTGTCACATCCTCAATGGTGAGGGTGGACAGGTCCAGCATCGTCTCTATGGAGAGAGCAATCTGGATGTACTTCGCCGGCTTGGAGTGGAGGTACTTAACGACCGCCTCTTCTTCGTCGATGGCGACGCTGTGGCTCTTCAGCTTGCTGATGAGCGTCTGCAGGCGGAGGGAGAAGTCCTCCACCGATTCACCGTCCTTGAACTTGGGGTTGGCGTACTCCTGCTTCAGAAGCTGGGCCGTTGCCTTCTTTGCGCGGTCGGACCCGACGCGCATCGCCGCAACGGCCTCCCACGCCTCTTTAACAGAGCTCTTCACCCCCAACGGCTCCCTGTACTCTGCCGGTACAGTAGCGATGATAGCTTCCAACGCTGACATATCGTCTTCTTCATTTTCGGTGCCCTTGTCAACGGCATTCCAGAGCTGTCGGGCTCTGAGCTTGATCTTCATGGTCACCGACCACTCGCCATAGTTGGTGCGAGTCAACGTCGGCCAACTGGTGCTGCTGACCTCCCGCACCATGCGCACAACGACCTCCTGTCGTGGCTGGACAGCCACAGCAGCACCGCTGCTGTCGCCCATCTCCAAACCGTGCGTCATCGCCAGCGGTTAGTCCGACGATTGCGTTTGTACGGCTCTGATACCACTTGTTAGCCCCTGGATCTCCGGCACGGGGATATCCGACAACTCACTAGCGATACCGACCACGAACTGTCGTTGGCTACCACCCACTATGGCTAGAGGTAGAAGAAGGGAGGGAGAACAGAGCACACACACAGCACAAGCACCAACGTTGGCCGAAGCTCTGCTGAGGAGATGGCAAACTGAACTCACTCTCTTTACTGAGTTGCAGTGGCAAACTATATATAAAACTCTATCCATCTATTCCTAGTACATTGGCATGTCAGACTGTCATGTTACTACAGTGACTAGATGTGACAGCAGGGCTGACTTTGGTGTCTGCCCCTACTGTGGCTACAGTATGGCAGGAGAGCCATTCAACTCCTGCCCCTGCAGCTGCTACAATGCAACAGCAGCGAGCCCTTTTTAACGACATCTTCCCCTACTGCACCTTCACACAAGGGAGCAGCAGATTAACAGCCGAGTCGTAAATGCCGGTAGGTATTTTATTCTACACAACTCGTGCTACTTACACGCTCTACCTCGTGCGTTGGAGCTGGCTTGCTTTAGTAGTAGTTAGCAAGATCCATTGGACAAGGATCTGCCGCTTGTTGTTGAGGCAACATATTGCATCTTAGCAACGTGGGCATCTCATAATAAAGCCATGTAATGATCAACTTGAACAACGCGCCCTAACTGCTTTAATAACAGTCACCGGTATTGAGCATCTTTGGAGCACCATTTTTTCTCATTAAATAATTTTCTGGGCGGATGCTATACACTTGGGTCATTATATCATATGATTTATAACAGTAAAACAAGAAGTAGTTCAAAATTATGTTTCTGTTTTCAAGTGACTGTTTTTCTGTACAATACTTCTCATATACAGTGATCAGCTGATCATCTAAAAGGCAGATGCCAAAGGGGCTCAGTTGGTACATCTATCTACAAGCTGAGAGTGTTGAGAAGAGAAACTCTGCTTTGGATCAATTTTTTTAACAAGGTCCCAAATCGACCCTCTAGATAAACAATGTCCAACTCCAAGGCTTTAGGCTTGTAATTGATCCACTTCACATAGAACTCTTCTCTTTAAGAATGTCTTGTGGATGAAAGGCCACTTGCTAGAACTTTGCTGCAATCTGCTTTGACAGGAAATGTGACGAGGCCTCAAGAATTGAGACAGCAATATCTCTAGCTTCACCCAACAGCTTGACCACCCTGCAGCTCTCCTGGTTAGCTGAAGTAGACTTATTGTTAATCTTCTTGAACCTCCTGCAGCTCTCTGCATCTTCTTTGCAAAGCAGATTTAGGATCGAAACTGAATCTTGGCTTCAACTGCTGTAATGTCTCCCCTTTTGATAATCAATTGCACCTCCTGAATGCTCGTCCTTGCTCTCTTGCATGGCACTGAAGAGATCAAGCAACAGGAGAGAGTGCTCAAGCTCGTCCTCCACTGCTTTCGTCTGCTTTGGTTGGCACAGGCTAACTTGGTTGCTAGTCAAGCACATGATCTCCTAAGTGTTGTTGCACACACTTCCAAGCCTCCTCAAAACATCATGCATTGCTCGAATGGCTGTGGGGGCTGAAGGCATGGTTTCGTTAATGATCTGCAACTGATCCTCAATGCTGGTTTCGTTGGAGCAAGGGCTGGAAGGCGCACTTGGGAAGCCATGGTTGGAGCGAAAAATGCAGCGCTCTCTTCTTTGTAGAGGAAGGGAGAGGAATGCTGATCTGATGGTGTCTATTCTCCTTGGGCTTCTCTCTATATATAATGAAAGAAGTAGAAGCAATACACAATTGAATCAGCAGACAAGAAGAATCATGCCAGTCCAGTTGCTTGTGAGTTTGCTGTCCATCTCTACGGCAGGTTGATTCTTTTCTTTTGATAATCTATCGATTCAGACATCTAAATAATGTATGAGCCTGTCATGTCTCAATTGTTGGAGGCAAACAATTACACAAGGATGTTGTTTGGGTTACATCTATTACGTGCACATTATGCTTCAACATTACGGGATGACTAACCTCATTATACAAAATTGCTGTCATGTTTCAGTTGCATCTTTTGGTAGGACAGACCACATTTTCTGTGGGGCTGATGTTGGACCAACATTGGCATTTCGCAACATGAATTGGCACAGGAAGACAGGCTGTAAGCACTGTCCAGCTCCAATGCTTGAAATGAAGAGCCGAAAGGAAGTATGGAAAAAAAAACAGTGCTCCACTCTATTTTCCCTCTGTTGTTGGGTTTCCACCATGGTCCATTTGAATCCTTGCTCAATCATCCGTCCTTGTTTCATGAGTGAATGGATCAGTCCCAGAAAATCAAAACAGTTATAACAGCACACACTGAAACACATCCTTAAATAAAGTAACTATGGTATATATATACATATGAACTTCTCTGAACATTAAAAGTTGCTATATACATTTCCTGCTCTGTACATTGAAATCTATTTAGATGATTAGCGAATCCTTTTTGCATTAAAAAAAGATTAATGAATCCTTTAGACTTGGATCACATAAAATCATATGGGTAGATGAGAGAATAGGCTTTCAACACCTCTCTCTAGACTGGGATTCTTTTATTCTTTCATACAGTTTTTGTCCTCCTTAATGTTTTTTTTTTTTTTTGGAGGAAGCAAAAATCCTACTGGCCACTATGCAACCTTTCATTCGCAACATGCTTGGGCAGAAGATGCATTATTGATTCATAGCGAAATAGTGCATACAGCATTTTTGTAAGTGTCCTGACCTATTCAGGTAAATGCAAGGCTATGCTAATTATTCACAAAAATTGCAGAAACACGAGGATGGTCAAGCATATACATTGCTAGTGCACAAGCAATGAAGAGCCGAGACATGACAGCAGGACTATCACTATCTTCACAAATCAACCGTGTAATGACATGATTATATTGTATCGGGGTGATTAAATGCAACTAGTTGGGAACCTGCGGCTGGAGGCAAGCAAAGGCATCTAGCTGCTCCTTCCTCCAGTGGCAAGTTGCCTGTTAATCAATCATCTCATGATCTGGAGGATCACATGCTCATCTTGCTGCCCTTCAACCGTGCAGGCAAGTTTGCCGCCCATATTGCAGACATGACAACCTCCTAATCAAGCTAAGTTTGTGATGCTTCTTGGGTTTGGTGGCGTTCACCACTTGGTTACACATGAGAATGATTCTTGCTGTCTGCTGGTCAAGCATATACGCTGCTAGTACACAAGCAATGGAGAGCAGAGACATGACTACAGGGCTACCACTATCTTCAAAACCCCACCGTGTAATGATGTGATTATATTGGAATCAGGTGATTAAATGCAACTAGCTTGGGAACCCGGTGCTTGAGGCGACCAGAGGCATCTAGTTGTAGCTTCCTACAGTGGCAACTTGCCTGTTAATCAATCATCTCATGATCTGGATCAGATGCTCATCTTGCTGCCCTTCAACCATGCAGGTGAGTTTGCCGCCCATATTGCAGACATGACAGCCTCCTAATCAAGCTAAGCTTGTGAATTGTGATACTTCTTGGGTTTGGTGCCTTCCGTTGCAGTTCACCACTTGGTTACACATGAGAATGATTCTTGCTGTCTGCTGGTTCAGCTATGCTGTTGCTTCCACCTCTTTCGCTATATAAAGAGGAAAGCCAAAGCCCGGAAGACCACCATTGCAGCAGCTTGCCTTCTCTTCTCCATTTCAAGAAAAAAGAAGCTTCACAGCTTCAGCCTCCATTCAAATCATGGTTTGCCACCTTAGATCCGCGAGCGTGCCTTCCAGCCCTCGCTCTAACAAAGCCAACATCGATGAACAGCTGCAGAGCCTGAAGGCAACCATCTCCTCACCTTCAGTGGCCATTGAAACCATGGTTGATGGTCTCAACAAGATCGTGAGCATCTACAGCTGCATTGATGAGCTCACATCCTTGCCCAGCCACCAACGTCAGCAGAGGAAGGCAGTGGAGGAGGAGCTCGAGCGCTCCCTTGTCCTGCTTGACCTCTGCAACGCCATGCAAGAGAACTTTGCAGAGCTCAAGGTCAGCGTCCAGGAGATGCAGCTGGTTCTCAAGAGAGGAGACCACGTGGCTCTTCAGGCCAAGATTCAGTCTTACGCCCGCTTGACCAAGAAGGTACAGAAGCAGTTCAAGAAGATCAACAGCAAGGCTGCTTCTGACATTGAAGGATGCAGGGTAGTCATGTTGTTGGCTGAAGCAAGGGAGATCGCTGTGTCGATGCTCCAATCGACATCACATCTCCTCTCAAAGAAGATAGCGATGCCCAGTGCTAGCAAGTGGTCTCTTGTGTCCAAGGCATTTGAGAAGAAGAAAGTCTTGTGCAAGGAGGAGCAATTACAGGCGTTGGAGTTAGACATTTCTGATCTTGAGAGTGGAGTTGCCACTTTGTTCAGGACACTGATCCAGAGCAGAGTTTCTCTTCTGAACACTCTCACTTTGTAGATAGATCATACACCATCTCTAACCCCTGCGATTAGCATCCTTGTTTTAGAGGATCTGCTGATCATCGAAACAATTTTGATGTATATATATATGAGAGAGTGTACAGAAATATACTCAACTGGAAAGCAAAGTTTTGGGTCCATTTTCCTGCTGTCGAATTTTTTCCCCCTCTTTCGTCTCATCGTTCAACATGGAGGACAGCTAAAAAAAGGGCGTACCCAGTGCAATGAAATGGGAGTGCTGCAGTTGAAGTTTCTTCAGGAAAATAAATTATCATAAGGTGCTCATGATTATTGGTCCATTATTGGCCTGTTAATACTAACAATAGACATAAGATCCTAATGAAGTGGATCTTGCTCCCTTAACTGATAGCATGCCAACTCTAGCCATGAGATTTGCACTTGCAATTAATAGTTGTTCAGCATTCGGTAAGGTGCCAATGCATAAAGAAATTTGGACGGCATGTGGACATCTTGATATTGCAGGATTCAGATTCTAAATGCTTAACGCACAGCAGGCAGGAGAAACAAAGCAGCGTGTCATGAGTATCAAGAACGCTGTAGTCAACTTTTCCTTCCACTAGCATGCATCAACCAGCCTAGCCAACAGCTGTTCTAATTGCACAGCTTTGCTCTCCATCTCATGATCTGAATCTTGCACTAAACTATGCACCCGTGCAGATGGTTTTGCTGCCAGTTATTGAAACATCCAATGCAACTCTTTATTACCATACTATTTTTCTTGTGCAAAATGATTTGGAGGGGGCTACAAATACCCCTTTTATCCTTGTTCTAACAAATGTTTTGGACTGAAGGCAAACTTCTGTCGGAGTGAAATATCCGGCATTGGTGAGGCATTAGAAATAAAATGTAAATTCAGGAAATATTAACTTGTGAGTCCCTTTGCCTCTGAAACCACTGTGAACGAAATAGGGAATCTTTTCTGTTGTTCTGCCCTTATAAAATTGATACATCTATTCTCTCACGATGTCTAAGAGAGATGGATATCTCTGGCAAAGCGTGCACATATTATGAGCTAGAAAAGATCCTTTGCTGCCGGTACTTGCAACATGACAGTGCGATAATAAGCTAATTATTCAGGAGCTGCACCTAATGGGTCTAGAATCAGATGATTAAACACGGTTTGGGAGCCTGGAGGTGAGCGAAGTCAAATAGCTGTCCATGCTTCCACCGGCAACTTGCATGTTAGTTAACGGATCACACGATTGAATCTGATGCTAATTCAATACCCCTTCACCCGTGCAGCTCATTTTGCCACCCATAATGCAGGACATGACAGCAGACAGCCTCGTAATCAAGCTCAACTAGTGATGCCCCTTGAGAAATAATGGTTCTTGCTGTCTGCTTATTTCAGCTGTGCAGTTGCTTCAACTTATGTCCCTATATAAAGAGGGAACCCAGAGCTGGGAAGACACCATTGCAGCAGCTTGGCTTCTCTTCCATCCTCCAGCAAGAAGAGGCTTCGTAGCTTGTCCCATCCCATTTCCAAGCATGGCCTGCCACCTGAGATCCGCGAGTGTGCCCTCAAGCCCTCGCTCCAACAAAACCAACGTGGAGGAACAGCTCCAGAGCCTGAAGGCGACCATCTCTTCAACCTCCACGACAGTCCAAACCATCGTTGGTGGCCTGTCCAGGCTTGGGAGCATCTGCAGCTGCATTGACGAGCTCGCATGCTTGCCCAGCACCAGCAGCCAACGCCAGAAGAGGAAAGCAGTGGAGGAGGAGCTCGAGCGCTCTCTTGTTCTGCTCGACTTCTGCAGGGCCATGCAAGAAAGCTTGGCCGAGCTCAGGGTGATCTCCCAGGAGATGCTACTGGGTCTGAAGAGAGGAGACGATGTGGCTGTCCAGGCCAAGGCTCAGGCTTACGCCCGCTTGGCCAAGAAGGCGCAGAAGCAGTTGAAGAAGACCAGCAGCAAGGTTGCCCTTGATGACACCGAAAGCCGCAGGGTGGTCAAGCTGTTGTCTGAAGCGAGAGAGGTCGCTCTGTCGATGCTGGAATCGGCGTTGTATCTCCTGTCAAGGGAGATCGTGACGCCGAGCGCCACCAAGTGGTCTCTTGTCTCCAAGGCATTCCAGAAGAAAAGAGTCGCGTGCAGGGAGGAGCAATTGCAAGCGTTGGAGTCGGAGATTGTTGACCTTGAGAGCGAGGTTCAGGTTGTCTTCAGGAGACTGATCCAATGCAGGGTCTCTCTTCTGAATGCTCTTAGCCTGTAGAAAGGTCATGCACCAACCAACTAACTCCGATAGCCTGCGATTAGCATCCACCTTTTAGAGGATTGGCTGATCACCAGAACAATTTTGATGTATATATTGAGACAAAGTGTACAGAAAAATAGTTGATGAAAGAACAAGATTTTGATCCATATCATGTTCCCAAACTGTCCGCTACTCTATTTCTTTTCATAGCTTTGACATGGAAAGCGTAAAACAAATCATCTGAAATTGGGAGCTTCAACTGAAGTTTAGTTCGAAAAAAAAAATATTCAGAAGATGCTCTTCACGTTTGGTATCATCAAAGAAATTAGTCGATGAGATGCCCACGTTTATATTCACATGGGATGTGCCTCAACAACAGGCACAAGATCCCTGCAAAGTGGATCTTGCTCTCTTTAACCAATAACTTGCCAGCCCCAGCCATGAAGTTTAAGTTCGTTCGCAACCAATAATTTATCAGCACTAGAGTAAGCTGCCATGCTGATTCTTGCTGCTAATAGTTGGAACATGACAGTGCGATTGATCACTTACACGGTTACACCAAATGCTCAAGAAATTTGGATGGCACTGAAGGGACCGTGACACCTAATTGGAGGGTGAATTAGGTAACTTAAAATTTCTAACTCTAAACTATGACCTCTTTTTCTAACCCTAGCAAAACCTATGCAATAGATAAATTATCTAGATGTGCAACTATAGTTTTGCTAGTGTGTTGCTATCTCAATCACAAACGTAGTAAAGTAATCAATGTAAATGCGGAAGCTAAAGAGTAAGGTAGAGATATACAAACTCCCGTCGACGACTCCGGTATTTTTACCGAGGTATCGAGAAGCGCGTAAGCTTCCCCCTAGTCCTCGTTGGAGCCCCTCGCAAGGAATCCCTCACAAGGGCCAAGCTCCCGGTCGGGTAACTCCGTGGATAGCCTCGGGCCTTCCCCACGCGCAAGTGGGTCTCCGACGTGCCTTCCGGCAAGCCTCTCCGGATGCTCCCCGCCGTCTTCACTATCAAGCTTCCGGCCGAAACGCCGCGGGCCTTGTTCCCTCCTGTACACGGTGGCGGCCACACCACAAACGCGTTGGTGTGATCTCGCAAGACTTCAAGCCCCTCCGATGTACAACACTTGTGCTCGCAAGCACGGGGTGACAAGAGGTATGCAAACCTCACTAAACACTAGGCATAAACCTAGAGCAAGCGCACAAGCGGTGGTCTAATCAACCTAAGCATTTTGCAAAGCACTTATGCTAATCACCTAATAAAACACTAAGCACTATGCATGTGGAGATCACTAAAATGGTGTATCAACACCCTTGGTATGTTTCCTCAGCTCCACCTCTCTCAAATGGCCGGTTGGGGGTTGTATTTATAAGCCCCTCCGAGAAAGTAGCCGTTGGGGTCGAATTTCCGCGAAACTGCTACTGACCGGACGCTGAATCGTCCTGACCGGACGCGTCCGGTCGTCCCGATCGTTGAGCCGGCAATGTACTGATCGGACGCTAGCCAGCGTCCGGTCGCCTGCCACCGGACGCGTCTGGTCGCCTGCCACCGGACGCGTCTGGTCGCAGATTTGCCGCTCTGAAACCTTACTGTAATCGATCGGACGCTGCTGTCCTGCGTCCGGTCGGTTGCCGCCAGTGTCCGGTCTAGAATCCGGTCACCTGTCTGCCAAGTCACTTGCCCAGCGTCCGATTGCTTGTCCAGCGTCCGGTCCTGCATCCGGTCACCACAGTGAGCTCATTTCTTCGCGATCTTGCGTACGGCTTGGTTCCAATCTTCGTGCTTGGACTTTGCTTGATATCTTGGGTCTTCTCTTGTGCTTCTAAGGTCTTTCTTAAAGTGTTGATCATCGGATCACCACGTCTTCTTCGTCCAAGTTGCGTCTTGCATCCTATTGAACTACAAAATAAACACTTGCAAATTTATTAGTCCAATTTAGTTGTGTTGGTTATCAAACACCAAAATCCAAAGTAAATGGGCCAATGACCCATTTTCCTTACAGGCACGTTGATCATCTTGCAATCACCGATTTCAGATATCATTCTAAATGCTGACAGCACAGCAGGCAGGAGAAACATGCCAGCATTGCGAGGAGACATGAAGAATAATCATGAACATCGAATTCAAATGTTGCTTCTGCATGCAGCATCAAGCTATCCTCTCTTCACACGATCTGAATCAAACATTGAACTACACAATCATGCAGGTGATTTTGCTTCCGGTTATCTAGACATCCCATGCTGGACACAAGCTCAACATGGCACCTCGTCACCAATAGGATTCTTGCTGTCTACAAGGTCAGCGATGCCACTTCTTCAGCTTTTTCATTATATATAGAGGACAACCATGGCAGGTCGACAACATTTCAGAAGTTTCCTTTCTGCTCTCTTCTTTTCCATTTGTAGAGGAAAAGAGAGCACTTCAGCTTCCATTGAAGCCATGGCCTTCCACCTCAGATCAGCTAGCGTGCCTTCCAGCCCTTGCTCCAATGACATCAACGTTGATGAACAGCTCCAGAGCTTGAACACAACCATCTCTTCATCTTCTGCCACCATGGGAACTGTGTGCGATGGTTTGAGAAAGCTTGGAGAGATTTACAACTACATCAGCGAGCTTGTGTGCTTACCTAGCAGCCAAGTTCCAAAGCAGAGGAAATCAGTGGAGCAAGAGCTTGAGAGCTCGCTTGTCTTGCTCGACCTTTGCAACACGATGCAAGAGAGCTTCTCTGAGCTCAAGGAAAGCATCCTGGACATGCAGCTGGCTCTCAAGAGAGGAGATAATGCAGCTGTTCAGACCAAGATCCAGTCTTACATCCGTATAGCGAAGAAGACACAAAAGCAGTTCAAGAATATCAGCAAGAAGTCTGCAGCAGCTGATCAGGAAAGCTGCAAACTGATCAAGATGATGTCTGAAGCCAGGGAGACTGCTGTCTTGATGCTGGAATCTTCATCCCAACTCTTGTTGAAACAAATTGCAGTACCAAGTCCCAGCAAGTGGTTTCTCATCTCCAAGACGTTCCAGAAGAGAAGAGTTGTGTGTGAGGAGGAGCAATTGCAGGCGTTGGAGTTGGACATTATTGATCTTGAGAGTGGAGTTGAGACTTTGTTTAGGATACTGATCCAGAGCAGGGTTTCTCTTCTGAATGCTCTTTGCTTGTAGATCATACACCAACTGTGATTCCTAGTGATTAGCATCAGACTTTTAGAGGATTATTATGAGGAAATGTACATAGATATACTCGATGAGAAAAGCCGATCCATCTCATGCTGTCAGTTTTTCTGCTGTTTCCTTTTTCTTGTACAGAAAATAGTAAACTTCATTTCTGGTGTCATGAAAAAAAATGGTAGTGGTTCAGTCACAGCTAAGAACTGCATATGAGATGTTGCTCAACAGCAGGCAGAAGATCCTTGTAAAGTGGATCATGCTCTCTCTAAGTGATAGCATGCCAGCTCCAGCCATGAGGTTTGAGCCTGCAGTTGATAATAATTCAAAAATCAGATGCAATAACATGTAGAGCACATAGAGTAAGCTCCATGCTTATTCTTGCTGCCAGTACTTACAACATGGCAATGTGATTCAGTTAGGCACAACGCATTACAAAATTGAACAGTACATGAGTCAGTCTCGGGATTGTAAAAGTCGCCATCGGTGATCTTCGTGTTCTGCATGTTCCCACTTCTTCACAATATGCGGATATCTTCACCAAAGGGCTGCCTTCTTCAGTGTTCACGGAGTTTAGGTCCAATCTAAACGTGCAGAGTGGCTGACGATTCGACTATGGGGGCGTGTTAGAATAGGCGCCTATGGGCTGGTCATGGGCCTGGCGCCCAAGCCTATTGGCTGGGCTGCCTCTAGGGATTATGGTAGATGATTATTGATTAGGCAAGGATCACCGTTGATTCGGTGTTTTTATAAACCCTTCCTGATCCTTGCCTATATAATGTACTCCCTGTACCCATATCAATCTATCACAATTTTCCGAGAGGCAGCCCAGCCGATAGGCTTGGGCGCCAGGCCCATGATCAACCCATAGGCGCCTATTCTAACAGTAAAACCCAGATTCTAAATGTTGTAAACACAGCAGGGAACATGACAACGATGCAAGGAGCTTCGGAGCCTGCAGAAATGAAGCAAGCGTTCCTCGCAAGAAGCATCAACTGCCGAAGAGACAGCTCGCTCATATTTCCTTTCATGATCACTGGTATCACGAGCCCTTTTTATGTATATATGAGATATAAATGTACACAAAAATATTCAAGTGAGAAAAAGGTGTCCACATCACTGCTTATGCATGAAATGTGTGAGTATGCTAGATAACACATTTTTGTTTGCTATTCCAAATTCAAATAAATATTATCAGAAAAAAATGGTTGCATTTGTTGTGCAGCAGCCAGAATCAAGACAGCCATGGTAGTCACTCACATGAGATGTGCCTGCTAAACAACAAGCAAAAGATGCTTGCAGAGTGGATCTTGCTCCCCAAACCGACTAGCATACATGCCAGCTCCAGCCAATTGCTATCACACATCACGAAAGCTGAGCTGCCTTGCCGATTCCTCCTGCCAGCATGAGAAACAACCAGGCAACAAGGCAGCAACTGTGGGTGAAGCTAGCAAGTCAACCGTTCTTTCCCTCAGTTTCCTTGAACGCTCACCGATCTCATGATCTAGATCTCAATATAAACAACAGAATACCTGCTGCTTATAACTGGGACATAGCACTATGAGAGCTTCATCAAGCCACCTTCAGAGATTCCTCTTGCTCAGGTTGAACATACAGAAAGCATCAACCTGCAGTGGAGACTAGTGGCTAAGTCGCAACAGCCCGGCACTTCATCACCAGAGATATTCTTTTCTTGTCGGTAGGGTCCACAACACCATCGCTTCAGCTTCTTTGGTTATATATACTGGGAAACCATATACCTGGTCGACACCATTGCGGATCAATTTCTCTCCATTCTCTTCACCTCCAGTTCCAGCCATGGCTTCCATTATCAGATCCACGAGTTTGCCTTCCAGTCTTCGATCTGAAGAAATCGACATCGAAGAACAGCTGCAGAGCCTCAAGGAAACCATCTCTTCTGCTACCATCGAGACAATTGTTGATGGTATCAAGAGGCTTGGAGAAGTGTACAACAACATTGAGCAGACAATTTGCTCACCCAGTAGCCAGGCTAGCCTGTGCCGATTACAACAGAGGAAAATGGTAGAGCAAGAGGTTGAGCTCTCCCTTGTCTTGCTCGATCTCTGCAACACCATGCAAGAGAACTTTTCAGAGATCAAGATCAACATCCAGGAGATGCAGCTGGCTATCAAGAGAGGAGATGACTCGACCCTTCAAGCTAGGATCCAATCTTACGTCCGCTTGGCCAAGAAAGCGCATAAACAGTTCAAGAAGATCAGCAAGAAGCCTACTTCAGTTGATCAGGACAGCTGCAGGGTGGTCAAGCATTTGGCTGAAGCCAGGGAGATTGCGATCTCCATGCTAGAATCCTTGTCATATCTTCTATCGAAACAAATTGCCATCTCAAGTTCCAGCAAATGGTCCCTTGTCTCCAAGGCAATCAAGAAAAGAAGAGTTGTTTGTAAGGAAAAATTGCAAGAGACAGAGTTGGTCATTGTAGATCTTGAGAGCATAGTCGAGACTTTGTTCAGGAAATTGATCCAGAGCAGAGTCTCTCTCCTCAACACTCTCAGTTTGTAGATAGATTGTGTACCAGCCCCAATCCCTTGCGATTGATCATAATTTTGTAGCATACCTGTAAATGAGCAACTGTACAGAAAAATACTGAAAAGATCACAGTTTTGGTCAATCTACTATTACCGATTTTACTGTTTATGGATTCCCTCAAAAAAGTACTATTGTCAAGTTTTAACAGTTTAATTATGTTAATTTTTTAGAATACTCAAAAGATGCTCGTCATTATTGACGCTTAAAGAAGTTATTTTTTGTAATGCTTCAGTAGAGATGTGCATGTTATGTAGATGCCATGTGTTGTCCAAGCAACAAGCAAAGGATCCTCGTGCGGTGGATCTTGCTTCCCACATCTAAAACAAGTCAGCTCCAACACACGAGGTTGAGCGTGTAAGTAGCATGAATCCTGCTGAATAAAGCATCTTTACAAATTAAGAATTGCACACTCGCTCCATAACACACTTGTCACCAATAATAATTGGTTAGCAATCCACTAAAATAAGCTCGAGCGTGCAATTATGTCAAGATCCACCAGTTGAGCTTAACTAACCTGTTGATTATTGCCGCCAATAGCTGGAACATGGCAATGTGATAGCTCATTGGGAGGATAGCTATTGAAATTAAAAAAACAGAACTAAGCCTGAGTCATATAACAGACTCCATGTGCTGTAGCCACCTTCCAGGTTTCAAACCATAGTAGTTAGAAAGCATCTGGAAAATAAAAAGGAAGAACTATGTTCGTTCACCATCAACATGATGCCACCTCGCACGCTTCTTGGGTATAAATAGGCCTCAGCTGAAGGCCAGAAACATTCAACCCAACATCTGCTATCTCACTTCTCATCTCCACAGCCAACAAACATAAAAAAGCCCAGCAACAGCCACGGCTTGCCACCAAAGATCAATCAGTCTACCTTCTAGGCCTGCCTCCAAAGTTGAGGAGCTGCAAATCCTTGAGGCATGCACCTCTTCGCCCTCGATGACCATCGAGACAATCTCCAATGGTCTAAGGAGGCTTGGAGACATCTACAACTCCATTGAGGAGATTATGTGCCTGCCTAGCAACCAAGTTTGCTCCTCACAACAGAGGAAAATGTTGGATGGAGAGATGGAACGCTCTCTTGAGTTATTGGACCTCTGCAACGTCATGCATGAGGACTTCACCGAGTTGAAGGCCATCGTCCAAGATCTGCAAGTCTCTCTCAGAAAAGCAGATGATGCAGCAATTCAGGCCAAGATCCAGTGTTACTTCCGCTTGGTGAAGAAGGCAAAGAAACATTTCAAGAAGGCTGCAAAGAAGGTTACCTTTGATGAAGACTGCAGGATCTTGCGGCTGTTGAGCGAGGCTAGAGAGATCACTACCTCTCTTATTGAGTCAACAGTGCATCTCCTAGCCAAGCAAATTGCAATGCCCAAATCATCTATTATCTTGAAGGCGTTCCAGAAGAAAACTCCAGTTATCTGCGAGGAGCAGTTGCAGGTGTTAGAGTGTAACACCAGAGATATCGAGGATGGAGCAGGACTTCTGTTCAGGAGATTAGTCCAGAGCTGGGTCACACTCCTGAACATGTTTAGCTCATAGATCCTCTAGCTTAGACACTCTTGACATCTGCGATTGTTATCCGCCTTTTAAAGGATCTGCCAGTCGCTATGTACTTACCATTTGTATAGCACAAATATACATAAAATAGCTCAACGGAAAACAAAATTTTGGTTCAGTTCACGTCATCAACCTAGTACTTCAGGCATGCTTCAATTTCAATGGTATCAAGGAAGTGATTTTTACCTTCTCCATGGCCAAAAGGTGCATGTGTTCAATGATGAACCTGAACATTATACATTTGTAATACGCAAACAAAAACAAAAGGAGGATGTATTTTTGTTTACAAATAAAAAACTGAACATATACTATTGTGAGCAAAAAGCAAATATTCTAATAGAGTGTAGCATAATTATTTGATTTTTCAAATAGGCATGTTGTCTCATCATCTGTTTGACAATGTAATTTCAACACCATTTTGAGGTGGATCTGACCTTACGCATGGATACACCAGCTCCACCATGAAAGGCATATAAACTTATAGTTAGCACACAGCTGATCTAACAGACAACCAATCTGTCAATAATTTCCTGAAAACAGGCTGCATCACATGTATCACAAAAGAAATAGATTCCATTAAAAGTTCACAAGTAATAAGCTACACACTAATTTGGATTCTTTTCTGCAGTAAAGCAGGAAATGAACATACAAAGCTCATGGCTCCGTTCAACATTTCAATGAAAAATGACATGACAAAAAATCTGATGAATAAGCAGAAAACAAATCAGGAGGCCAAATAGTAGGGCATTGTGTTTGCTATTGGAAACTGGCTATGGCCTAATTTTCTTCCTGTTCATAACAGATACCAAGACCATTTCCAGTTCATGGAATAGGTGTGTGTGGGTGTTTGTACAGGTTATTACCCTTGCGGCCTTGTTATTCTTCTTTAATACCCCCTCTGTTCCAAATTGTAAGTTGTTTTCGCTTTTCTAGAATCCTAGTTTCTACTATGTATCTAGAAATAATGTATATATCTAGGTGCATAGCAAAAAGTGATGTACCTAGAAAAGCCAAAGCAACCTTACAATTTGGAACGGAGAGAGTATAATCGTACATGGCTCTCCAGCATGTTTGAAAAAAGAAAACTTCAGCTCACAGGTAGACCTTCTAAAAACGGGCCAAGATAAATATAAGAGATGTTGAGGCAACAATAACAATAAGCCTTTTAGTCCCAAGCAATTAGGGATAGGCTAGAGCTGAAACCCATTATCCATTACATACGAAATATAACATGCATGTACGCAAGGCTCAGATGTAGGCTAAACAACCATACTAATTATTGGTGCCAATAGCTGGAACATGAAAATGTGTCCACTTGCCTTGCTACATGTACCACACTAGGATTTTGAATAGCATGTCGGTGATCTCTTACAATTCCCAGCAGAGACTGAACAAGTATGCCATTTTGAATATACTTATAATATCAAATGTTGGTGAACACGCAGAGGCAGGAATTCTCTTCCATTTTCTTAAAAATTGTGGTTCTGTATTTTCATTGAACATACAATAAATGTGCATAAATTTGAACATACTAATATACAGTCATGAATGCTAATCATCCACCAGAGCCTATACCATTGTTGAGTGGTGGTGCAAAGCAGAGTTGCAGACATGCAAAGAGAAATGCAAAGGCTTCAACTCTCTGATGGTATTGGGATCCTGGTCATTTTGGAAGCAGAGGAATGACTGCGTCTACAACAATGTTTCGCCCTCAGTAGAGCGCCTCCTGCAGACACTGGAGAGTTGGGGACTGAGGTCCATCTATGAAGCCTCGCAGGTGCAAAGGGAAGTTACCTGACTGCATTTGCAGGGTAGTGCATATGGCCTGGTCGTGTGTTCTTTTGTAACAGGTGTGGATGTAACTAAAAAAACATGTGCTGTTCCTTGTAACAAACTATTCTCCTTCTTAATGCAATGACAAGCAGTTCTCCTGTGTGTTTGAATTTTTGAAAAGGATGCATATATTTCAGTCAGAATCAAACTTCTTCACGAATTGTTTGATTTTCTCCAGGCATGTCTTCATTATTAAGTATGCAGATATTCTTTCCAGACATGCAGATCAAATGAAGCATAATTATTTGATCTTTTTTCCCAATAGACATGTTACCTCGGTGAGTCGGCATCTATTGGAAAATGTAATTGGCAAGATTCTTGTGAAGCGGATCTGGTCCAATATACAACAGATCCATACCACAAGGTATAAACTTATAGTTAACACATGGCAGATCCTAGCAGAAACCTTATTTTTTGTAAATTGCATGAGAACAGGCTATATGATTATATCACATGTATCAAGAAGGAAAAGGTTCAATCAAAATCTCTCTAAAGGATGAGCAAAACAATTATTAGGATTCTTGCTACGAACAAATTGGACCGTCACAAGAGCAATTAACAAACATGAACTCATCAAACAGATAACAGAAGAAAAGAAAATGTGGACCTCATAGTTTTTTTTACGCTTCACTTAATCAGTCACATCGAAGCAAAATAGGGGAAATCAAATAGTAAGGTTCCGTGTTTGCCATTTGAAACTTGCTATGGTTTCATTCTCTTCCAGTTCATAGGAAGGCCTTCTTGAATGGATCAACAATGAACAAAAGTTGCTTATTTCTTATGGTAGAGAGCGAATCATTAATAACAAATTTATTCTTGTTTCATTCAATTTAAAACTAATCTTTTTTTTTCTCTTTTCTTTTTGATCAGTCATGCTAGAACCCATGAGGCCATGAGTTTAGAATAATGTAAGTTGACGTGAAACCATAGACTTTATGCTGTTTTGCACAAACTTCGGAACTTTGATAGCTCAAAATGTTAAGATTCTATACACATCATCTAATAGCACAGAGCAAATGCCAATATACAGGAAAAAATTGTGCTCACTCATCTGTCATTTGAGGCACAGATCTGTAAATTATGTCCCTAGGTCACAGAAATCCTTCTTATCAAAAGAATATGTCGGTTTGCTTGGATTGTGCCTTGAGATCCTTTAACTTCTTCAAAATGTTGGTAAAATAATCTTGTAAATATTTCTCTAAGCTGAGGATGTCATTCCCATCCACCCCGAGAAGCTGGTAGGTCTCATTCATTGGAGCAGAGAAAACTGTGTCACTTGAGAGCACCTGGTTTAAAGAAATGTTCTATTAGTTTTCACAAGCTATGATACAAGTTACCATTATATGGACACATGTAAACTGAACAGAAAGGACAACATGGTAACCTCTGAAAATGCCAGTCTGTCAGCCACATCATTTGTCCATTGGAAGAACCGTGTCAACTGACGAGTAAATCTCAATACCGCAACAGGGACAGTGGTTACATTGGCATCTTGCCCAGCTAACCTCTCACACAAAGTAATCACCTGAAGAGGCAAAATAAAGAAAAAAAGATGAAGTACAATATACAAACAATAAACATAATTCTCGGAAGCATCATTTACAATATCTAGCATCACAAACAAAATGAACTGCATAACATTTTGAAAGATAACAGTGATACAAACTTAATGATCTATGAAGATAGATTTATTGATCAAAACTTTTCTGGACATACTACATAATTAATTTCCTTCAAAAAGACAGTGTGCAGTTTATTACCTCTTGAGTTGTCCAAGCTCGTGGGCCAGCAAAAGTCATGAGTTTCTTGTTGGCCTTCTCATTCCGCATAGCTATAAACGTTAGTCGAGCTACGTCCTATAATTTAACCAGAATGTGTCAAAGGAAAGCTGAAGGAGAGGTTCAAAAAGATATCGGTGATCCCATTTTCAAATGGATAAGGGGAAATATAAACCTGGGTATCCATGTAAGCAATCCGAGTTGGAGCATCAGTTCCCCAGACAGACTTCTCTTCTAGTATAGGCACAGCATATTGCCCAATAAGACCCTATTGCAAACAATGTTAGACAGGAATTTATTTCTGGATAAACAAGCAAATATGGCAATGGCAGTATGTATCAACTCGAGGTCATATCACGACTTGATCTTTTAATAGTACAGTTTCACTAACAAGGAACTGCCTTTTGTAACCTATCATCATTGTACTTCACTAGGATCATTGACACTAAGAAAGCAGTTTTCTAACCAAGGACTCAGAATCACAGGGAGAGGATCAAATCTACCTGCATGAAACCACACAAACGGATGATGATATAATCCAGACCACTGTCCTGAATAAACTTCTCAGTACAATACTTGATTTCCATCAAGGGAACCTCAGGATGCTTGTCACAGTTGTGGATGGAATAGAACACATACTTTTGAATTCCCATAGCCTTTGCACACTGTATTAGAGCAACTTTTCCTTCCCAATCTACCTAAATGGAATAACCATCAGCAAGTCTAAACAAATGATCCATGGCATATATGTTAGTACAATAAACCAAGCTTACAAAAACAAACAATGCAGCTAGATGAATTTCTTCGCTACTAAGAGCAATAAAATTAGCTTGAGTAACAACCAGCAAAACTGCATTGATGCAAGAATAATATTCAGGACAACAGAGAAGCATAATCATTTGTTACTGTATTCACAGAAATGGTCGTAGCATACCGTCCGGATGGGCTCTTCTGGCCGTCCTGTCGCACAGTCAATGACGGTATGAATACCAACAAGTGTCGCAGGTATGGTCTCCGGCTTGCTGAGGTCGGCCTAATCAGCTCCAATGCAAAGCACACAAAATTACCACCAATAGCAAAAGCAAGTACAACTGCACAGATTGAATAGTGCGGTAGCAATGGCAGCCCGATGTAACCGTACATTGACGACAGTGGCGCCCCAGTCCCGGAGGAAATCTGCCGGCGCCGGGCGCGGCCTGACGAGGCACCTGACGTCGTAGCCCTCGTCCAGCGCCCTCCTGACCACCTGCCGCCCCAGCGTCCCCGTGGCGCCCACCACCAGTATGCTCGTCGGCCGGACGGGCGTCCCCTGCGCAATGCTGGTCGGCGCCACCGCCTGCGCGTTGCAGGTCACCGTCAGCCTGCATCGCGATCCAACTGCAGAAGCAAACACGCACCCTGTTACTCGGGATCGGGAGGCAGCGCACGACTCGCAGGCGGCTCTCGGGACGCGAAGCAAAAATGGCCGGGGTACCTTTGGTTGCGCGGTGGAGGAGGAGATTCGAGCGGCTAGCAGAGGAGAGGGCGGCGCGGCGGCGCAGGCGGCCCGGGGAAGCGAGCTGCGATGGCAGCGCGGCGAGGCCGGTCGACGCCATGGCGTGGGCGGGGGGGCGGTTAGTGGCGTGGCCCGCCACGGGGCTTTTGGGTTGGGGAGGAGTGGTGGAGAGGGGATGCGGAGCAGCCGATGCCCGTTGCGCCACGTCCACAGGACCACAGCCGTAGCCCCCCGTCATCCGTTTCCTCCTCCACGTCACCATCCGCTTCGTCCACCTGCTCTCTGAACACGTCTTCCACAACATAATACGCTTTCACTGTGCTAAAACGTATTTGTGCTTCGTCTAAAGGAGTGTGGAAGGCCGAAGGCGGCTGCCTGCTCCGCGCGGTCTCTTCCGTCTCGGAGCGAGCGATCAGTGGCGTCGCCGCGCGGATCCGAAGCGCGCGCGAGAATGCAGGGCGGATCCAGCGGCATCGTCTACGGCGGCCTCAAGTACCAGGCAAGCAAGCAGCAGCAGCAGCGCCTGCTGGAACCTTCTAGAACAACTTGTCTTAACCTCTTCCTCCTTTCTCTGCTCTTGCAGGCGCGGTGTATCGCCGACGTGCGTGCGGACGCCGGCTCGACCACCTTCCTCGCCGGCACCCTAAGCCTCAAGGAGGAGAACGAGGTGCGTGTCTCGCGGCCATGAAGGCGCGTTGCGTCTGGTGGGATTGCGATTCGAGTAGTACTTTTCTGTCAGGGGAAATGGCGTGGGATTTGATTTGGATCTCGATTCCTCTGAGTGCGTCCAAGTAGGTGCACCTAATCCGGCTTTCGCCGGCGGAGAGCGAGCTGGTGTGCGATGGCCTCTTCTACCACCCCAACGAGATCTGGGACCTCAAATCATGCCCCTTCGATCACAGGGTCTTCTCCACAGTCTACACGTCTGGTAAAGAACGGAAAAGTTGCCTCTCTGTTCGTGAACATTGCAATTTGCAAATCTGTAGTGTGTGATTTTCTTGTAATTTGGAAAAGTCGTGATGTGAATGCCAGGTGAGGGCTACGGTGCGTCAGTTTGGAAAATCCCAGAGGTTAATGGGCAATCAAACTCACCTCAACTTGAGCAGCTCTTTGAGCTTAGTGGGCATACGGGCAAGACTAGACGGTGAACTCCTGTTTCTGTTGATTTTTGGTTGCTCTAGAGATGTTTGATCTACTTACTGTACTAGATTCTTCCTATGCTTTGAATTTCAGACTGTGTCCAACTTTGGTGGCTGAAATGCAAATGTGGGGTTAATGTTCCTTCCTGAACCGCATGGTGTTTATTTGTAGTTAGATTATTTTGGCCTCATTTTTGTGACTACATCACTTGTTCACTGCACATGAACATTGAGATAAGAGTATAGTTACTAAGAAAGATGCAATGAACATTCTGTCCTGTCTAGCATGCTGCACGTGTTTCACATTATGAGCACCATTTAAGCAATACAAAGATTATTTCCCACAGTGCTCGTGAAGGACATAATACAACAACAACAACAACAACAAAGCCTTTAAGTCCCAAACAAGTTGGGGTAGGCTAGAGTTGAAACCCAGCAGAAGCAATCAAGGTTCAGGCACGCGAAGGACATAATAGATGAGAATATTTTATTTCAACTTTCTGTATGAATCTTTTAAACTAGTCTCGCTTGCTTCATATATTCTTAAAAGCTTCTTGTGATATGTGTGTCATCTTTATTCATGGTTCTTGACACCTCTAAGCTGGTTATTTTGCAGTGTGGTTTGGTGGCCACTTGGAAAGCATGATAAACTAATTAGCATTGATGACCGAAATATTTTTCTTTGGAACATAGACACGTCAAATAAATCAGCTAAGGTGTGCCATCATCCTTCTGTTTATCAATATATCATCAGCATACTTGCAAAATACTTTCTCTGTTTTCAAACATTAACTTAAGTACCAGATTATGAAATGTCAAGAATCTACACACCATCTGTTTATATACTTCATATTTCACAATGGTGTTAATTTGAATTCATACATTGCAGGTGATCTCACAGGGATCAGCTGACATGCTTCCAAATTTACGTGGTGGAGCTTGGGATCCACACAATCATAATTCAATTGCTGCAATATCTGATTCATCACTTCAGTTGTGGGATCTACGTTCTATGGAGTTAATACTTTATCTTGACCTTCTATTATTTACTATGCTTCTATCTGTAGTTCAGTTATTGAAATGTTGCAGTTATGTTTATCTTTAAATGTACCATTCTCAGAAAATCAACTGCAATTGAACATGCACATATACGGGATGTGGATTATAACCCCAAGAAGCAAAACATTATTGTGAGTTCGACACTTACTTTCTTGTTTCCCATATCAAGCAATACTTCATATATATTTGCAGCAAACGAACATTCTTATGAATTAGCTTTCTGTAGTAACATTGAAGACAACAACTTTGTATTACCTTCTGTTTCTTGGTTACATTTCAACTTTATTTTGTTATATTTTGATCATGGAGTTTGCATATTTTTTCTTGCCTCAGTAGTTAAGCATCATGTTCACACTGGGGTATGACATGAGTTGTTGCTTCGTTATTATTAAATAACTGATTAGAACTCGACTGTGTTTTACCAACAAATTCATTTTTTATTGGTTCATAATTGTATTAATTTAATCTAGCTAAGTCCCAATCCAATTTCATAGAGTCTGCCTAATTGGACACCCGTGTTCAAGTTCAGTAACAATGACAGCTATTACTGGTTCATTATTGAATTGTTATCAACTTATTTATACTCCTGCACCCAAATAAAATATTTGCTTCTGATTAGTAATCGATTATACACTTCAGGCAACAGCAGAAGACGAATTTGGAATTCGCTTGTGGGATCTCAGAATGCTTAAGCATCCTCTAAAAGATCTCCCTGGGCACTCACATTGGTATGTACTGTGTAATAATATACTCAAACCAGAATCTTTCACTGCAATCTTTAAATGTTCTCAATCTGTTCTGTTTGCATATATGTTGTGAATGCGTACGGTTTGACCTTACCTTCCATCGAACAAGAGCAAACTTCATCCTTTTCAGAGTTAGATTTCTGGAAATGCTTCGGTCACTAACATGTGTGACTACACAGGCCTGTTTTGACTTTCTTATCTAGCAAATATCGAGGATTTTTTATGGTCTCATTATTTTTACAGGACATGGGCTGTTCGGCACAATCCTGAGTATGACGAGCTGCTTCTGGTCCGTCTCATTCCTCCCTCCACATGCAACTTTTTGGGGGGATTAAAGTAATGATATATTGGGTTTATTGTGTACTGATGACATTGAATCTTTTGTAGAGTGCTGGAACAGATTCAACTGTAAATTTATGGTTGGCTAAAGTTAGCAGTGACGATTCTGAATCTGATAGGTCTCTATTTTTTTTCTTGTGCTTGTTATATCATTTTGTTTAAATTTGGGATATTGATGCCTGGTCATTTTTCCACAGCCCTTCTGGTTCACCCAATAGGCAAGAAGAACCATTACTGAACTCATATACTGACTACGAAGACAGCATCTATGGTATCCTCCAACCTTCATACTTTGCTTATCAATTAGAACTTTGACAAGGAATCACAGGGTTAATTAAAATTGTAGGTATTGCATGGAGCTCCCATGATCCATCATTATTCGCTTCTTTGTCTTATGATGGAAGGGTATGTGCTTGCATCATTTATTGCCTTGTGGAACTTTGCCTTACATGTCCTAAACATTCATGAGATTCTCTTATGGTCAGATTGTCTTGGAATCAGTCAAGCCCTACTTGCAGAGAAAATGAATCTTGCTCGTCTATCTATTTTGAATCGTGAGGCGTAAAATATGATTCCTCATTTCCTTTATCTTGTCATTATTACCGGATTTATCTCATGTCCTAATAAACTGTTCTCTCCCTGCAACCTGCAGGCTTGTTTGTTCATATTTGAAGCCGTGTAGCTTTGCCTTGCCATTCTGTACCCTCTTAACAAGCCGTGTAGCAATGGCAGAAATATCAATAACAAGATTGATGCAGAAATCATCTTGGCTGACATCAGGTCTTCAGCCCACTTTATTAAAGCCAGCAATGGTTGCAAAAAATCAGATCTAGCTTCAGTTGGAGATAGTACAGCACAGTTGAGACTGTCAGCAGTTTCCTTTCCTGTATCTTCAAATTTTGTCTGCTAGGATTTGATGTTCATGATTTGATGTTCAGTTGCTAGAAACTTGCCTGTGAAGATCTGATCTGCATGTTAATAACCGTTGTCCATCTGTCTGAAATATTGTTCCTTACTTGATTCGTAGGATGTTGTATATTTGAAAAGTGTTCAGGAAAAGGTCTTGAGTTATATGATGAGGTGGAGTTGGACTGAATTTGTAAAACCATTCAGAATTTCAGATTACTAGGATTAGCTTGTTTTTTTTTATTTAACTCTTCTGTTTGGCATTCAAAATTTCGTCCTTTGCAGGTAGAGTTGAACTGAATTTGGTAAAACCATTCAGATTAACAGGAATAACTTATTTTATGAACTAGTATTATGTTCTGTATTCAAAAAAAATTCTTCTTTGGTTCACAGTAGTTGCCCATCTTCTTTGAGAGTTACATGTTCCTATAGTTGTTCCATGCCCAAAAATGTGCTTAATGGCTCAAATAGTTCATCACATATGTGCATTCCTCAATTTAAGAAAAAAAAGTGAGCTTCATTTCCAACACCCGTGTAACAGCTACGCAATCCAAGTTCTTTGAATTAATAAGTGAACCATAACCTAAGATTCTTCTATAGTTGTCCAGGTTGTACATATATAGGGTCTGCTGCATTAGCTTGTAAGTCAGATTTGATTGTATTAGACAATGTAGGCACATAAAAGTTGTCACCCCCACATACCTCTACTAGAAAAATAAGATCTCAACTAGAACATGAAGGTGACTATATTTAACAAAAGGGGATGCAAACAACCAAATATAATTTTATCAAGCGCGGCGTACCTATGTAGGATAACCAAACACCAAACCGTTTATGTTTACAATTGTTTGAGTTGTGGTACATAATGTATAATACAGAATGTAACCAACTAATTAAACCTATAGCATCCCTTGTATAGTACATTTTATTCTCTTGGGTCACACTTTAGGGTAGGGTGGATTCCACGTGCGTTGGTGTCTCCTCCAAATCTCCAATGAATATATATCAAAGGCTCCAAGCCATCTAAAGCAATGATGAACACAATTTTCCACAATTATAAAACATATATCCGAATCATCACGTATATCATTATTTTGAACTAAATACTTCCTTACAATTGAGCGAAAAAAAATCGCAAAATATATCAGTTCATTGTTTGATGTTTTCAACTAACCTAAACAAAATTTTCGTTTGAACACATCTTGTTACCAACAGCAAACCGCATCAATTGCATGAGAAATCTACATCTACTACCTCTATAATGTGTTTTTCAATCTTTGGCGAGCAGCATATTTTTGGAGGAAGGAAACAACCTCAAATGACCTCTTTGTATTTATTATTTTTGTTGGTCGTTTGCGCGTCAAAGTGTCCTATTTTTCTTTATATATTTCAGATCTTTGAGACACTTTCTAGTTCCTCTTTCAGAAAAATTTTCAAATAGGAGAACCATTTTAATCAAACAGTAAAATTAATTAGGATATTTTATAGTGATAGCAATACAATTCTAATAAACCATAATTAATTTTTAAAAGAGACAGTAAAATGTGCCCCATATCTGATAAAAGTTAAAGCATATAATTTGGTCATGAATAGGGTTCTTGTTTTATTCTCAACAAAATGCTTTTTGTCTGCATTCCGAAGGGGAAAAGGGGCGAGCAGAGAACCCGTATTTAACGACAACATACTCGCCGTACTGTGCTGTGTGCTGTAGTAGTGTAGTACCACCGGGGATATTTAACTTTTTCCATCCTTACGCGTGGCACTCCTTCGTTCGTTATTTTTGTGCGCGTCCTACATATTTGCCATCGTAAATAGTAACCCTCCTAATTTTTTTGTCATTTTTGCTGAGGTGGCACGACAGATGAGCACGCCAGCGTGGCAGAGAGCCTAAGAAGACCTACCAAGCATGCGAAATGACCTAGGTACCCCTGCTGCTTCTCTCCCTCCTATCATTCACGCGTGGGCCCACATGCCAGCTTCGTCTTCAACCTCCCGCCATCACCACGCAGAGAGGGGAGGATTTTTCGGGCCCGCGCCGCACGACTCTCCTACGGGCGATGGACACCGACGCCTGCGCGCATGGATTTGGGCGAGGCGAGGCAGACCTTCTTCTTCATGCCTGGGGGCGGTGTCTGCTTGCTTCCTCAGCGCCTCCTCCTCCTCCTACCGGTGGTCGGTGGCGGAGGAGGAGAGACTGGTGGCGCACATGGTGGACGCGTGGTGCTCAAGGTGCTTGTGAGTGAGTGGTCGAGTGGTGGGCAAGCCGCGGTGGAAGACCTTCATCCGGCGGTTCGGCAGCAGCGGGTCACCCACGCGGCCACACCACCACTTCGGCGGCCGTAAGCTCAACTACGACGCGCTCAACTTCGACGAGGGCCACGGTGCCAGCCCCGAGGGCGACTACACCGGCTACCGCGACTTCTCCGCGCGCTTCGTTGCCCCGCCGGCCTCCGCCAAGTCGTCCATGGACCTCACCGGATCCACCTTGGGCATGGACAGGAGGCCGTTGCCGTCGTCGGGGGAGATGAAGAGGAAGCCGCCACTGCCGCGCGGGAGAGGGGACGGCTCGCCACCATATACAGGGGGCGCCGCCACTGGAGTAGGGGCGCCGAGCCGCCTAAAGCCTCGCCTACACCAGTCGCTGCCTCCATGGCTCACCACTGCTGTCGCAGACCTGGGGAGGATGCCGCCGCCGCCGTGGTGGAAGGACACGCCGCGAGGGAGTGGGGCCGGCCGGAGAAAGAAGGAGGCGAGGGCAGCTTGGTCATTTCGCGTGCCAAGTTAGTGCTCTAGGCTCCCTACACGCTGGCGTGCCCATTTGGTGTGCCAACTCAACAAAAATGAAAAAAAAAAAAATTTTAGGCGTTTGCGATGGTAAATATATAAATATACAGAGGCGTGCCCAAAAATGCCAAACGAACAAGTGTCCTCCGTACAAAAGTTAAATATCCCAGTACCACCGTCCCTTTCCTCCGGAGTTCAAACAACTACTGATCCAGAGGCGGGCGGCCCATGCCGCCACCGCCGCTTCCAGGACCACCTCGCCAGCGCCGTCGCAGCGGCGCCCCCTCGCAGCTCCCCTGTGGCACGCCCTCTGCCCGGGGGACATGGTCCAATCGCGGCGGCGAGGCGGCAACTACCGGTGCCCGCGCCGCGCCGCACTGCCGGCGGCGGCGCTCCTGCTCTTCCTCCTCGCCGCCGTCGCGCTGCTCTACGTCTCCCCGCCTCCGCTCGCCGACCACCCCGTGGTCGCCTCCTCCCGCCGCCGCCGCTCGCCCCATGCCCTGGTATTGCATCGCACTAGTGACCTAGCCGCATTTGCTTTTTTCTCCACATTTCCGATCTAACTTGTCTTGCCTTATGCGTGTGTGCTCTCGCTCGCGCAGCTGAACAGCTCCGGCGGCGGTGGCATGGAGGAGTCCGAGCGCCGCGAGATTTCTCGTGCTCCGGTAATTATGCGCTTCTCCGGTTAGACTGAGCGCAGCAGATCATCACTAGTCTTTATCCTGTTTATTAGTAGAGTTGTGAGTTCAATACTCTGAAATACCTCCTGTTCGTGTGACTTGTTGATCAGTTTGGGTGATGTTTGCTGTAATTAGTAGGTAAATGAATTGGGTTCCACTTCATGTTCCATTTTTCTGCAAATTAGATTGTGGCAAGCTATTGGATTATTATTTTGGTGTTATTTTATTCTACACGAGTGAAATTTACTTGCTCTAGTAGATGTTTGAGCTTAGCTGGATTTTATTTATGTTGCCATAAAATTATTTTGAAATGCACGCCTTTATCTTCAGAGCTCCTGCATCATAGTTTGGTTGCATTTTCCCTAAGGCATGTGAAATTTGAGTTTTACTTTTATAATTGACGAGTTCATTACAACATTCTTTAAAATGTAGACGAATGGTTCGGCCGTCAGGGATGACCTTTGGGGTTCAAAGCTTGCTAGCAAATTTTATGGGTGCAGCAACTCAAGCAGCAAGTTCCTTGGTAGGCAAACTTTTTGAAATCCACTGTTGGTCGAAATTTGGTGAAGCTGCATAGGACATTTTATTTGTTCCACAGTTCTACAAGGCCACCAATGCTAGGTGTTTAGTTGTAACTAATGGTTTTGAAATTCTGAAAATAGTTTTGACTGTATCTCTTAATTCATTTTACCTGAAGTAGTTATTGTTTCAAAATTGTGTAGATTCAAACATTACTACCCAACCAGACCACTATTTGATGATTGTTACAAGTGGAGGCCTGAATCAACAGAGAACAGGGGTAAGCATGTGCTACATTGTTTTTTTTTTCCCCATAAATAATTTTGCACATGGATGGATAGGGGTGTAGGACAAAGCATGTGTTACAACCTTGTTATACATGTTTATGCACTGCTTTACGGTCTCATTGTTTTCTAATTATAGTAAACCATAAAGCTCTTGAATTTGTACTAAAATCTGCACCAAATGCTATGATTCTTTTCCGATGTTTCCCTGTGCTGAGTATCCAGACTCTTAAGTAATGCAACAAATATATTGTCAAGTGGCTAAACTAATACTAGATTCATCTAATGCACAAAGAAGCTAATGTTCTGTATCCTATGGTCTGCCAACTTTCCTTTGTTTATATAATTTGGAAGGATGTTTTTTCCCCAGGCAAAGCATGATACAAACAATCAATATGAATATGTAATGGCCCATATCCATAAACAGAATTAACTATGTAAACTTGGATCATCCTTTTATGGATTACGTAGTCCTTAACTTAAAATATACTCCTTCCGATCCCAAATATAACTTCATCTAGCCTTGCCCTAACTGCACCAAATGTAAGTCAATGATAACTTCAATGCATCTATTTGCTTCATTCTTCCATGTCTACCCTCCTCAGGTGAACACTAATCAGTGCAATACACTTACCACCCATCTTAACTCTAGCAATGATTGATGGGCAATATAGTCATTGTAATTCACCTTAATTCTTGTGCCCCAGTCCAAATGGACTTATATTTGAAATCAAAGGAAGTTTAAAACCTCAATGTATATATATAAACATTAGAAATCATCAGCTGATACTTATAATATCCATACTGTTGCTTAAAAGTATATAGTGTCAATCCTCTTGAGTCCTGACTAGTGCCCGGGAACATGTTGAAGCCTTGAAATTTGAGGCCTACCTGTACTACTAAGTTCTAATAAGAGTCTCCAGGAGTGATTTTTTATGCTTTAGTGATAACTTGTAATACTTATATGCCTTTTGGTTCCATGCTTGTTGTTATCTTTATACACCTAATTAACATGAGCAGTGCTCTTTCAGATAATTGATGCTGTTGTTGCTGCACGTATTTTAAATGCCACACTTGTTGTTCCCAAACTAGACCAAGCATCCTTCTGGAAAGATTCAAGGTTAGTTTGGAGTGCAAAGCATTTCTATGCCGAATCTTCTAAGGCTTCTTGTGTTTGTAAGATGACTTCACTGCATTTGGGTTGTACTTAATATAACTTTTGCTGCAGCAATTTTTCGGATATTTTTGACACCAACTGGTTCATCTCATCTCTATCAAAGGATGTAAAGATTGTGAAAGAGCTTCCACATGTAGGAGGTAAACTTCGGGCTCCTCACAGGATGCGTGTTCCCCGAAAATGTACTGAGCGGTGTTACTTGAACCGTGTGTTGCCTGCACTCCTTAAGAAACATGTAAGTCATTGTATTGTAGCTGTGTTTGTTAATTTGTTACCAAGATACATAAGTTTTATATATGCTGTTATCTTGTGACTTAACCAATTTCATCCACTTGTGTATATATTCCCCGAGCTATATATATGAGATATTTACTCATTAAGCTCCACAAATATATGAGGCTTTTTCTGTGACTATTTTAGATTCTTTTACTTTCTTATTTTGAGTATTAAGATATCAGTTCTTTCACTTGATGCAGGTTATCCGATTGACGAAGTTTGATTATAGATTAGCAAACAGGTTACAAACTGACTTGCAAAAGTTGAGATGTAGAGTCAACTATCATGCATTGAGATTTACTGCTCCAATTCAAGAGATGGGTGAAAAGCTAATACAAAGAATGAGGGAGAGGAGCAAGTATTTTATTGCTCTTCATTTGAGGTGCACTCATATAAAATTCTCATGTTTTAGATCACATATATCATTTCCTTTTTATACTAATAATTGAGAGGAGGATGGGCGTAATGCAAATAACATAGTTTCTTAATTTCTTTCTATAAGCAGATTAGACTTGAAACCCATTTAGAGATTAGAAGCTAGAACATTGGGAGCGCTTTCATCACCTGAGCTAGGGTGTGCTGGATGTTGGTCTCCCTCTAGTGTCAATGTGGCCTCGGCCTCTTGATTCGGGTTGTGGTAGGGTAGCACATATCATGAAGTTAGAGGGACAACTTAAGGAGGGTCCTGAACTTCTGCCTTGGCAATTTGTCTTATCAAGGAAGACGTGTATTCTGTAGAATGGTATTGCGTGGACACAATAAATGTTAATGCAATGATAACCTTTGATTCATAGATACCTAGCATTATTTGGCCAATAGGACCAGTATGGTAGAAGAGCATGTGTGATCACGTGATCTTATAGTCTGAAGTTGCAGGATTTTATATTTTTTATGACTAAATCTAAATCTTACAAATACCTTTTCCCAGTTCATGTAAGTTTCCTAGTTTCCTTTACAGCTCGTAATGATATTGATCTTTTCTTGTCCCTTCCCTAAACATTATTCCTTTTGCAATGTCAGATTCGAACCTGATATGCTTGCCTTTTCGGGGTGCTATTATGGTGGTGGAGAGAAAGAGAGGAGAGAACTTGGTGCTATAAGGAAGAGGTGGAAAGGTTTGCATGTATGTATGCTACTGTGCTATCATATGGCAGGTACCTTGGAAAACCATGATCGAATTTCCTAATGCAACATCCACTGTTCTGTATTTCAGCCTAACCCAGAGAAGGGAAGAAGGCAAGGTAGATGCCCTCTAACTCCTGAAGAGGTGGGTCTGATGCTGAGAGCCCTGGGCTACAGAAAGGATGTCCACATCTATGTAGCTTCCGGAGAGATATATGGAGGTGCAAGGACTCTGGCACCTCTTAAAGCTCTCTTCCCCAATCTCCACACAAAAGAAACAATATCTAGCAAAGAGGAGCTGGCTCCATTCTCTAAATATTCCTCTCGCATGGCTGCACTTGATTTCATTGTCTGTGATGAAAGTGATGCTTTTGTGGCTAACAACAACGGCAACATGGCTAAAATTTTGGCTGGACAAAGGTATCCGTTGCTGTGCTCTTCATGTATAACTATGTCATTGGTGGTTTATTACTTGCCCTGACCATATTTCATGCCCTCTGCAGGAGATACTTTGGGCACAAGAGAACGATCCGACCAAATGCCAAAAGGCTCTATCCCTTATTTTTGAACAGAGGAAACATGTCATGGGATGCATTCTCCTCAAAAGTACACATGGTTCAGAAAGGATTTATGGGGGAGCTCAAAGAGCTGAGGCCAGGGAGGGGGGAGTTTCATGAGAACCCCTCTACCTGCATCTGTGAAAGGACTGATGGCAAAGCAGTAGCCAGGGCCAAATCTCGAGATGATCAAGTATTGAATAGTGGTGCTGATCGAGGCAAAGGCATTGGCGAGCCAGCTGTTCCTAATCATACTGATGAAGAGGTGGGCGAACCTGATGATGACGAAGATGCCCCTGCAGAGAAAGAGATTGTTGATGCTGAAATGGACGACGATGTGTTGGTCGGACCAGAGGATCCTGAGCTAGAACAGATTCTTTCAGACTAGTATCCGGCATCAAAGATGTTTGCACAAACCAATTTTTGGCTGAGTGATTGACGAATTTTGCCCCGCCCCTCTAAATTGTACATATTTTTTGCGATGTAAATGTACGTATACATCTGATCTACTCTAGCTCGCAGCCTCCTTACTCAGTAGCCCCTTTGTAACATTTGTGGATTGTTATAGCTTGTATCATGGGTTTTGCTTTTGTGTAGCAACTCTTTGATGCCCTTTTTGTGTAAGCATCTTAGGGCATGTAGAATGTAAGGTGCTTACACACGGACAATTAAGGAGAGAATGTTGTTATACCATTAATAATTGATATATAAGTTAATTGCCTAGATAGACTTAGTCATCTTGGTAACATACATTAAGCATTGGTCTTAAGGACCATTTGAGTTTTATATTTTAGTAGCTATTCTTTAAGAGCAACTTCAAGAGATTTGGTAAAATTAGATGCTAAATTATGAGATTTAGCCATTATGTAAAATAGAAAGCCTATCTAAAATGTAGAGTTTTACAACAGCCTAGCTAAATTAGAAAACATAGATAGCAAGCAGGACTCGCTAGGAAAATATGGCTAGCTAGAATTGAAAAATAGAAAACAATATAGACAAGCTATTGGAATGCTTTTTTAGAGCACAATAGCTATAAATAGCTTCGCGAATATACATTTACCTAGTCGTTGGAGTTGCTCAACGCCTGAAAAATATGATATGATACTTAGCATCTTATCCATCTTCTAAGTATCAGTTGTGAATAGTCTAGTGAAGAAAAAACGGTTATACATGCTCTTCAGGAACAATTGTGTAGCCAAATGGCGTTGCCTCAGGCCCGTGAACCAGCATAACCTATAAATGCTTCTCCCGTTGAATGCTTTGGCTGTTGGCTACATACCTAGCAAACAGTAATGCCCGTTGGGAAACTGGCAAAAAGAGAAGACCAATGAACCAGCATAACCCCGTTGGGAAACTGTCAAAGAATAATCATGAAATCAAGTTGTCTATTGCAATGGAAACAATATTGACCTCCTCGTCTGGTCATTGCCAAACTACAACTATATTTGTCCAATTGTCCTCCTTGTCTAGACATCACTGGACTACATCTATATTGGTAGACCCATATAGGTATGAGGAAAATTAGGGATAAGCAATATGAGCTGAAAAGTTACAATGCAACACACAACGACCAATATGACGTGAAGAAACCATATTCTCCACGTTCAACCCCTCTCCTTGCTGGCCGGAGGCCTTGGGCCGTTGTTAACACATCATCATAGCCTTCTCTAACACAGGTAGGGTGCTTAAACGGTTAAGCACCATCACATTGTTAGCTTGTTATGAAATTGCAGTATGACAAGTCATCAGATTGACGAACGGTGGATGTCATAGTATAAACTAATTGAATCCAAATATAATCTAAATTCAAATGAAGCATTGTGCATTGATGATCCTGTACAAAGCAAAGAATTTCACTTAATCAATACAAAATCTGTACATATGTGGTTTGTCTTCCTCCAGTCGGCTCTCGCTCAACTTCGAATGTGAAGGTGGCTTTTTTCTAAAAGCTAATTTGCCTTCCATTATCTTCTTTGTTACCTTGGTTTGGTCCACAATAATAGCATGATGAACAAATAGAGACAGGGTGAGTGTATTATATAGTAGTATGCATCTGAGAGACTATCAAAAACTTCGTTACGTAATAGGTGCTCTAGATGCATGACTGACTTGTGTGTACTGGTAATGCGAGCTTTCTACCTATTTCCGTTTTAGCTATAATTTTGTGAATCGTCACACATCTCAAGTTATTATCATTCATTTTCCACAATAATATTGTGAGTCATCACACACAATCACACGTTTCGCACACCCTCGCCCGCTCCTCGTGCCTCTCGCCGTGCCGCGATCTATCTGCCTGTCGACCGTGGGCGACCTCAACCTCCGCGTGAACGAGCATCTATTGTGATGCAGCAAGTAGATGAGCACATATTGCAATCGTATGTTTCATATGTTTTAGATGTATATTGCATGTGTTTCATCTGGATATTGTAAAAGTAGATCGGGTGTTGTATATGTTGCAATGACTATACACGTATGTTGTAGGTGTATGTTTCAAATATTTCAAATGTTTTAAACGTGTGTTGCAAGTGTTTTTCTAGATGTTGCATATGTTGCACTGGTTATACACGTATGTTATAAGTGTATGTTTTAGCTGTTTCAAATGTATGTTGCAAGTGTTTTTATCTAGATTTTATATACGTTGCAGTGTCCATATACATATGTTACAAGCGTTTATTCTAAATGTTTTCATCTATTTAGGATGTATGTTGCAACAAATACTTTTATGGTGCAAGTATTTCATTAATGGCGTACTTGCTGATAGTTATAGCATTGAGGCATGAGACAGAGGTGGTCCCCTCCGGCGCAAAGTATATCAGAAGCTCTCAGCTAAGATCCACACGCACGCAGGGAGGGAAGCAAGCGGACGCGACAACAGACACGGAGCACAAAAGCTATATCCATAGACAAGACAACAGCCGTGGATCATGAAGCTGCATCCATGCTCAGCTCTCTCTCTCTCCTTATTTCAGCTGGATGCGGCCGGTTAGTAGCAACAACATCACGCGTCAGCAGCAGCATGCGGGTAGCAGGACGGGCGTGGCTCGTCGCTGCTGCTCCTGATGGCCGCGGGCGTGATGATCCCCCACCCCAAGCCTGCACGGTCAAATCGGGACCCAACGGCAGACGCACGGGCGTTGCACAGGAAAGCCGGACACGGGGCGTGCAGCAGCGCGGGGTGTCCGGATTGGATACAGGTACACGCCCGACCACTAGCATCTCCTCCATATCTTTCTGCACCTTTTCGCTTTATTTTCTCGAATTTTAACGTTCGGCCCCTCAGCGGCAACTGAATCCCGATCCATTGCCGCATATTCGCTATGTGCCGATCGACGTTCATATACAGCCTAGCACGAACTAGCCGGACCCAGAGACGACCCTTTCCCATCTCTCAAATCCAAAAAAACGTCACCTAGTGCGGCGGGCGTTCGGATGCCTATGGCGGCGCCAAACCACGCCGACCACCAGCCGGCGGCCGGCGCGTCGTCGTCGGCTTCTCCAAAGGCTGCCGGCGGCCACGATCCAAGTGTATCGCCAGATCGTGATGATCCAACTCGACTCCTAGTCGAAATGCTAGCCGGCACGGCCCTTGGGACGCCGATGGCCGCGCCGAATCACATCGATCATCAACCCCAGGCGGCGGCGGCGACCGTTTCTGCCACGGCCGGCCACTGTCCGGGCGTAGCGCCCGATGGCGACGACGACCTTACTCTAACCCTAACCAAAGCATTTGCCACTACAACTCTCGAGACGGCCGCCGCCGTGGCGAATAAGGCGGCGCCCGGCGTGTCCGCGTCGTCGCCTCCTGTCCGGGCGATCCCGGACACGCCGGCGCCGGCGGCGAAGCCAGCGGGCAGCCGCGCCGAGCGCCGGGCGCGGCGGCGCACGAGGTTCCGCCTCATCCGGGTGCCCACGGACTACCTGCGCGCCGGGCAGGAGAGCCGCGACCGGAGCCGCAGGCGGGAGCTTGTCCGGCGATGCGTCGGCAGGCTCTTCGCTGTCCACGAGGACCGCGCGAGCGAGCGAGGCATCTCCGCCATGATGGCCCGCCTGACGACGACGCTGGAGTCGGCGTCAGGGGGTGGAGATGACGCCGCTGTCTCTGCTGCGGCGCCGTCGCTGGAGCATGCTGGGCTAGCGGACCTGCTCGAGAAGATGGCGCTTTCGAAGAAGCACTAGAAAGACACGGGCGCGCCCTTTTGTTGGCTTGTGTGGACACTGAAACCTGTATATCATGTTCTTATGCTCTTAGTTAATCTACCTTTCAAGTGTCTAATTTAGATTCGAATTGTAATTAATTAGTATTGTTATGTTGGCAATAGATTGATAAAGGAGAAATAGTCCTCTCTGGTTCTCGGTTACTTCTTTTGCTGGAGTAGCCTGCTTGTAAGTTTTCTGGAGGCTCAACTATCAAACCTGGGTTCTTCATCTTCACATACTTCCTGATACATCTTGTATACCTGTTGATCCTGAGATGTTCCAGGCCTTATATCATGCTAGATTACACGCATGCAAGTTCAGAATTTCAGATTATGGCATGGCAAAGTTAAAACGGAGCCTTAGAGTTATAGAGTATTGCAGCTTATGAATTTCCAAAGCAAGCGCATTGCTCTTTGGAAAACAAAATGTGCATTACAGTCAGAACTGGCAACTCTTCAATGTATATAGTTAAAGCGAACAGTTCAGAGGTTTAGATGAAACAAATGTTTGACAACAGAAGTGCATACCAGATAACCGAGGATCCCAACAAAGCTACATTACCAAAATCAAATTCAGTTGGAATCTAAGGAATGGGAAAGTAGCATTGCTACTTACTGGAGAATGGAGAGATAAATTAGAGTACCTTGGGATCAATATCTAATCAGATCTATCTGATAGGGAGTGGGGTTAAAATCAACAATGATATAAGAATTGATAAATAATCATATGAAATTTAGAAATGACCGTCTGAACTTACCAAATCGCCAAATTCTAAAAGGATGTATTCACTTAAATAATAATAATGTCATCACACATCAGAAGAACAAGAGCCACACTTAAATAATCTCGTTTCCAACTGATTTAACCTTCCAATTTCTGGTGGTATGGGCCCAACTAATCTTGATATGCAAGAATCCTGAATGAAGGTACAGTCGGATATTTTTCTGCTAATTTGATAGAAGATACTGAAATGTCATGCTCTAACAATATTTGAGAAATGCTATTCTATACTTAAAAAAACTGAATTACTCATACAAAAACTGTGGATGGCTATAAAATATTAAGCAATTCACAAATAATTAAGATAACTTGAAGGTAAAGAGTGGTTCCAGATTAATCACTCTCTTGCTTCGACTATCACATCTTACACCCTTCCCACTGCAGGGGTCTGCATCTTGCTCACACAAA